AAGAACAATAGAATAAGATAAGAACAATACGATAAGAACAAGCAAGATGATCTAATCTAATCTAGATAAGGCTGCTGTTGCCGAACTGGGTAGGATGAGAATCATTGAATCACTGCTGCTGCTGGCGGTGGGTCAGGTGCCTGTTGCTGCCGGTGGCGACGGTACGTCTTCCCGAGGAATGCGTCAATAACATGGTGGTGGAGAGATTTGAGAAGATGTTGGCTGCTTGGAAGAGAAATTATGTTTCTTCGGGGGGCAGGATCACTCTTATTAGGGCTACCTTAGCAAATCTTCCAGTTTATTACCTCACGGTGTTTAGCATGCCTCAACCTATTGGGAAGAAATTAGAGAAGATAATGAGGGATTTTTTGTGGGAACCGGATGAGAGGAAGAGAGATCATCTAGTTAGATGGGAAGTAGTGACTAGAAGGAAGGAATTGGGAAGTTCGGGTCTAGGAAGATTGAAGGAAAGGAATGAGGCTTTGTTGGGCAAGTGGTTGTGGAGATTCCCATGTGAGATAGACAGGCTTTGCCACAAAGTTGTAACCAATATACATGGGCTCTCTGAGAATAGTTGGGATGCTAGAGTATCTATCTAATAGGGCCTCAGCTATTCACCTTGGAAGGCAATTCACAAACTCATCCCTTTGTTCCTCAATCATATCAGATTTGACCTCAATTTAGATAACAAAATCAAATTCTGGGAAGATTTATGGGTGGGCGACTCTTCTTTAAAAACCTCGTTCCCTTCAATCTTTGCTCTCTCTTCCCTCAAAGGCAGGTCGGTTGCTGATTTCCTTGTCCCTTTCCCATCCTTGTCTGGTCTAACCTGGAACCTGGGACTTAGCAGAAATGTTAGGGAGTCAGAGTTGGCTTCTTTGTCTTCTCTACTCCAGCTGCTCAATGGGGTGTCTCTAGACACTTCTAAACAAGATACGAGGATTTGGGCTCCTCAACCTTCCGGAGCTTTCAGCTGTGCCTCCTTTTTCAAGTCCTTGTCTTCTCCTGCCCAACGTGGTGTACTGTTCCCTATACAAGAAGTTTGGTGTCGACCTATTCCCCACAAAGTGGGTGCTTTTTGTTGGGAGGTCTATCATTGTGCAATTAATACCTGTGATCTGATGCAGAGGAAGAAACCTGGGTGGTGCCTTTCACCAAATTGGTGCTGTTTGTGTGAGTCCAATGGTGAGAATGCCTTTCACATTCTTGTTTCCTGTTCTCTTGCTAGCAGTATTTGGGGTTGGTTCTTCTGTCTATTTGGATGCAGGTGGGACACCCCGGTGAGCTTGGAAAGGCTGTTTGAGCCATCCACTTTCAGATGGCCAAAGTGAAGAGGGAGAACACTATGGAGGTGCACAAGGGCAGCAGTTCTATGGGTGCTGTGGGAGGAAAGAAATCTGAGAATATTTGAAGAAAAGAAAAGAAGCAAGGAAGAACTGTTAGAAAGTATCGTAATGAAGGTGACTTCTTGGGTGAAAACTCTGAATTTTTTTTTTTCAGATTCTATGATGGACGATATAATCAGGAATTGGAGGACAGTTGCTTCCTCTTCATCAGCAAAAAAGAAGATTTTGAAGGAGTGGGAACCCCTGGAACCAGGTTTTCTCAAATTAAACTTTGATGGCAGTAGTTTTGGTAACTCGGGAAGAGCTGGAATTGGAGGGGTGATAAGAAATGACAGAGTTTGATTGGATTGTTTTCAGGCCCCATCAGAATGGAAAGTCCACTACAGTTGAACTGAAAGCAGTGGTTTATGGGATACAAAAAGCTAAGGAGATGGGGGTGAGAAAGCTGGTTGGTGATTATCAGTTGGCTAAAGCAAAATGAAAGAATACCCTGGCTATTCAGAAATGACATAAAAAAGATTAAAAGCCAATCCAAGAACATGCAATTATCAATTCAGTGGATTCCAAGAGCAGCAAATGGATTTGCAGACCAGCTAGGTAAACAAGGGGTAAATAGGGATCAATGTTTTTGGGCTCAGTTGTAAGAATGATGTTAATTATAATGGGGTAGCTGAGGCTACTCTTAATCGGTAATTTCTGTAATTCTGTTTATATTAATGGAATTTCCTTTCACTGAGCAAAAAAAAAAAAAAAAAAAACATTTTTGAAGTCTCAAGATCTCAGTGTTTAATTTATCATTTTGCTCTCACCATGCAGGTTTAGCTTCTCAACCTTGTTCTCATCACATAGTAAGTCCGACGATGATGTTTTGTTAACCATGTTTTCTTCACTATTCTCAATACCCCTGTACTAAATTCATGTTTTCTGCAGGAGAGAATACCGTCAGTGCCCTTGGACGTTTTGTGCTACTCATTTGGTTATTTGTGGTTCTGATTATCAATTCAAGCTATAAAGCGTATCTGACATCAATTCTCACAGTTCAACAACTATCATCACCTATAAAAGGAATTGAAAGTTTGATAGCAACCAACCAACCCATTGGAGTCCAACAGGGTGCTTATACTGGGAACTATCTGAATGAGGAGCTTAGCATCCCCAAGTCTCGACTTGTTCCTCTTGATT